AACCGACAAAAGGAAATTTTTTCGCGATGATTCTTCGAAGCTTCAAAGTTTAGTTTAGTCCGTTTCTGAAAATTCGAATCGAAAAGTCGATATTATCGTTCTTTAGGTAAATTGAAAAATGAGAGGTGGAGAAAATGTATAGATTCGCGTCATTGTATCGCATATCTGTATCGAGTTTCTCGTTTGCTCTCAGTTTGAAAATTTATTATTAAGCGTGGTCGACAATGATAAAGAAACAAATATTCCGCAGAAATAAGAGCGGCCATCGTCCCGTCGAGCAATGAAATAAATTCGCTTGACAAGGTCAGTACCTGGCTCGAGAACATCGATAGTAACGCTAAGAAAATGAAAAGAAAAGAGAATACCGATACACACTGTTCATCGCGTTGCGCGCCGCCATCGCGATGCTCGAAATGCTATATTTTTTGCAGCGCGAATGCTCGGATTTACCCCATGCGAGGGTATACCCCCTCCCCTCCCCTCCCCTCCCCCCCGTTCCATTTCTCCTTTCTTTCCGTTCTTCTGTTTTTTCCAGATAACACACCGGAGCATGATCGCTGCTGCGTTCGTAGACATTTAAATATAGATCGTGTATAGGGTATATTGTATACACAAATATCCAGAACGTTTAAATAAAAGCTTATTTATTGCCGAGTATATACCAGACTCTATACGATATAGAGGAGAATTTATTGACTTTCTTCCTTCTCACGTTCGATTCTCCTTTATCAATATTTTTCAATGTCACCACTATATCGTGCACGATAAATTTAGCTATCGAAAAAAAAAAAAAAAAAAAAAAAGAGAGAGAATATAATTGCACGGAGATAATAATCAAACTGGAAATATGTATATTGCGAGTTGAATAACGCCCATTGATTTAATTGTATTGAAATAGTGATAATTACCAGCAATTTCAAATAATACAAAGCAAAGAAAATAAAAAAGAAACCGAGAGTTTGAAGTACAAAATGTTAAACGGTGACGTCATTCTATAGACAGGAACTTATCAAGGTAGGAAACACATCAAAAGATAATATGTCTCTACGATAACTGTTCGCGTAATTTTATAAAGTTTGAAGTGTGAACGATAAAATAGTCAGTCAAAAGTAGATGGTTTACGTATCCGTCTAGCTGATCCGTCTTATTAACAATATCTATATAAATCATAATATCTTTAATCACTTTTTACTGAAACGACAAATTATCTAGTGAATATACAAATAACAACCGGCTCGATCGGCTCAATGGCGAAGGTCGCGAATTCTGGTTACGACTTATGCAAACGTACCGTGCAACCGATTGACAATAAACATAACAATAATTTTATAGTTACCTATCAAAATCATTCTTACGATATACAGGATTTTCTTCGCTATCATCCTGGGGGAAAAAAAATATTAAGTTATTTCAAAAATCAAAGCTTAGATAAAGCGTTCAAAGAAAATCCTCATTCGCAAGCAGCGTTTCATCTGTTGGAAGATTTTACGTTGAAAAATGAAGAAAAATATCAGAAATACGAAGTGAGTATATAAGAGATTATTTATTAAGATATCTGTTATTTCTTTTAAATTATTTTATCTATTTTATGATTTAAAAATTAATATTCCTATATATACGTGATGATTCATCGAGATTTTATAACATTGATGATTATGTTCGTAGAATCTGATCGATTGGAATGTATCTATACTTGGACAAGTAAGTTCGTTAGGTGAAAATTATTGGGAATGGGTTAATTTACCGGTGAATCGAAACATTAGACTTTTCAAGTCAAACTTATTAGAGATTTTAACGATCACCCCTTGGTACATAATTCCGCTTGTATGGATACCGATATCCATCTATTTCTTTTATTCAGGATGGATGCAAATAAATTACAACGATACTGGTAATCATTTTACTAATAATTTTTATTTCTTTTTTAATTTTATTATTGATGTAATATTATTATGGAAAAAAATATTCAAATATTTCATTGTCGATCTACAAAGAGAAATTATTAATTATTAAATATCCGTTATAAATATTTCTATTATCAATTGCAATTATAATCTATCAAATAAAAATATAATCTATTATACAATATTATTATTTTTAATAATTATTTATCGATATATTTTATTGAACTTATTTAAAACTTTCAGAAAGTACCTTCATTGAAATTTTAACTTCTTATATATTTGGTATATTGATATGGACTCTATTAGAATACGTGCTTCATCGTAAAGTTTTTCACTTTAATCCACCTACTTCTTCAAAATTACTTATTACTTTGCATTTTTTACTCCATGGAATTCATCATAAGGTAAAAATTTATTAGAAATTTGTTAATTTATTTAGTTGCAAAAAAAAAAAAAGAAAAAAAATTTGATATATTCAAATCGTGTAATAATTTCACTTTTTATTTTATAGACACCACTTGATAATAGAAGATTAGTATTTCCTCCTATACCAGCTTTGTTAATAGCAATATTATTATTTCATATTTATAAAATATTATTTCCTCAAACAACTTTTTATTTTATTATCGCTGGTACAGCAACAGGTATTGTGTGTCGAAATATTTATTAAATTCGATGAATTTTGTTATAAATATTGATAATATATGAAATTTAAAAAAAAAAATTATTTTATAGGATATATGAGTTATGATTTAATACATTATTATCTACATCACGGTGCGCCAAAAGCTGGAACATATTTTTATTTATTGAAAAGGATTCATAATTATCATCATTTCTCACACCATGAATTAGGTATGAGATTATTTTTGTTTTAGAAATATTAGACAAATCTACATGTAAAATTATATTTTTTAGGTTTTGGTATCAGCAGTAAACTATGGGATTATATATTTGGAACGACTATTTGTTTACGAAAATTGACAAAACCGATTGAATGGTAAATCGATCAATGAAAAATAATTTATATGCGAATTAAAAAAAAAAAATTATTATAACAAATAAGTACAAAACAAAATAATTGAAATCAATCTATGATCGATGATTCGATCATAATACGATCGTTCAATATATATATATTTTAAGTACAAACAAGAAATAAAATATAGAATATATTTGTAAGATCAAACAATAATTAAAAAAAATTTGTATAAATGTTTTTATATGCTACAAACCTGAACAAATTAATGCTTTAAGTACATGAACGTATACTTATTTTGTATAAAAATAATTTGAGCATATCAAATCAATTAATATCAATGATTAAAAATATAACATTGATATAGATAATTAAATATGATTAATTAAGATTAATAGATAAATAAACGTATTTAAGGTCCTTCAACTTTGATATTTTTTCTACCCATACTTAACTGAGGAAATGTGCTCTTATTTGTAGGAGGATTTAATCTAGAAGATAAATTAACAAATGCTTCAAACAAACTGGCCCTATCCATAACATTTACTTCATAATGTTTCAATTTCTCTCTAGTACACCAATTTGCAGCTTTACTTGCTGTATTCTCCAAACTATGAGATTCTTCTTCGGCTTTAGTTCGATTTCCAACAACAATTACGGTTATCTCTTTTTTATCTTTATTTCTATCAATATCTTTCTTCAAAGGGAAAAGCACATCTAACGATTCAGGTTTCGCAGTATCATAAACCAAAATGTATCCGTCGGCAAAACCAAGATAATGACGCGGTAATTGCTGATTATTTGAATTATTCTGAAGAGATTCCAATCCAGCGGTATCATAAAATCGTACTTTTTCCTTCGAACCGCGATCCGTTTCTATATTTGCAACATAAATATCCTCGATCGTAGGATGAATTTCCTATTAAATTATAAAATTTAGTTTTTATATAATAAATAATTTTATCAATAATTAAAATGCGAATTTAAAATTGAAAATTAATAATAATATAGAAATATGTTGTTTCACGTTTGACTTTAAACATAACCTAGATTCTTACCGTTTTGACATTGACATTTCCGTATATAAGCTGTTCTAACAATGCTGTTTTTCCTACGCCTTTCATTCCACAAACAATCACTTTCGTTGTTTTTCCCATATTCAATTTTTTAAATTGAACTGTTATTTATTTTGGACATCAAAACTTGTGTTATTTTCAGAAAAATAATTCAAGTCACAACAGAAAGTCAATATTAAATCTAGTAACTGAATGTTGACAAGTTTTTTCTAGGGGAAATATATATTATGCATTTCCATAAAAAATATCCCATTTTTCAAAAATTTTAAATTTATTTATTGTTGAGTAAATTAATACAATTTGAAAGTATTTTATTTTATTTAATTAAAAAATACTGTTGACACAATTCACAAACAATAAACATTATCTATAATATTATAATTATTTTATTATTTTAAAATAATATCTTATTATATTAGAATTTATAAAATTTTCTTTGAAATATTTCACTTCCATAAAATATTTGACGGTAAATATTGACAATTTAATCATGGAATGATTAAAATAATGTTATTATAAGTAATTATAATTTACAGTATTTTATCTATATTACTGTAAAAATAAAATCTTACAATATATGAAAATTTGATATTAAAATTTTTTCTCCGTCAATTGTTAAATTTTTTTTCATTGTGTGTATGTATGTTTATATATATACAACACATATATGTGTAAAAATATTGCGTTATATGCATATATATGCTTTGTAATATATTCTTTTTTGTAAATATTTTACGTTTTCGTACATATAATATTGTCATGTTCTTCATTGAAAACAATCTCTACATGCAATGTTAATCTTTTAATGTTTAAATTTTGTACTTTTTTTGATCAGTACTTGAGATTTCAATAATAATGAATTTCACATGCAATGAATTGCATACATTAACATCATGCATCTTAAATTCATTAGAAATTGCATTTTTAAGCAAACATCTTTCCAAGATGTCTGACCTTTTTTAAAAATAGACGAACCAAAGTACATCTTCATCTTAGATCTGATCAATACCACGTTACTTACTTCACGTGGAATTTATTATGATCTATGGTTTAGATACTTCTTTCATTTGTTCCATAGATTTTGTATCTTCAGCCAAAAGAGCATTCAAGTCTATATCTTGAAAATTTACAGAATGTTGACTTGAACCTAAAATATAAGCACAAAATTATAAATAAATTTAAATATTAAAAGATACAAAAAAATATTATAAACAAATGATTATAATATAAACACACCTGCATGTGCAAGAAAAAGATCTTTCAAAAATCCTAATTCTTTTGTAAGCATTTTAATTTTTTCTTCAAGTAATTCATTCTCTGTTTTTAATTGATTTACACGTTCCAATGTTTGTTGGGTACGTAATTTGCTTTTAACTCTAGAACGTTTCACAGCCTGTAAAAATATTATAGTGTGGAATAAATATTTATGATATATTGTTAATGAAATAATTAATTATGTAATAAATTACTTGATTATTTCTATCTCTACGTCTTCGATAATCTTCATCATCTTCTTCTTCAGAAATTTGTCTTTTCTTTTTATTTCCAGATGTATTTTCTTTGTTTTTTGGCGCCATCTGTAATTATTTAAAAAAAATATATTCAATGTTAAAATTATCTTAATGAAAATGAAATATTTAAATATGAAATAAAATGAAATGTCATGCTAATTCTTAAAAAAATCTATGATTCTTTTATTTATATTTTTATTTAATAAATTAAAATAAATTAATAAAAATATTAAAATATTAAAATTAAAATTTTATATAAAACTTTGTTTATTATTTAAGTAATTATTTAAGTAATAAAAATAAAATATTTTAGTATATTTTATCTAATTCATGAAGTAAATAAACAAATTCAGCAATTTAGAGCATTATTATATTAATTTAGAATCCTCTTTTCTCTATTTTTAATAAAATCTTAAAATTAAATATTTAAATAAAAAAAAAAATAAAAAAATTTTTTTCTTAAAATTTTATTTTACGATTATATAAAATTTATTTAAAATTTCTAATGTTATCCAAATTCTATTTATATTTTAATCTTTTGTTAATGTTAAAAATATATTTAGTTTAATTCTAATTTTTTTCAATTGTCATACAAATTATATTATAAATAAAATACTGTTACTCATTTAAATACTTTCTCTTGAATATTTATGTAGTAAATTTAACGAATTGTACATAATATATTTATGTATATATAACATATACATACATATGTATGCAAATTAAACAATGCGTCATATAAGCCAATGTTTTTAGAACATATAATAAATTTTAAAGATTTAGAATACTTTAAAATCTTTTCATATAACAAAAGATGTCACATTTCGTATATATTAATTTTAACTTACTTTTATATCTTATGCAAATTTTTATATTCTTAACTTCATATCACCATGAAAACTTAAAAATTGGAACTTTTATTGCTAATAGTCTACCATGTGTGCCACAGTAAAACACATATCGATGATGCAATACTACTAAATGAAACTTGCAAATGATGTACAAGGAAATATGAACTGCACTCTATCGGCATATTTTTGTACTAAATATAATGACTTTGAATGAATATAAACTTCTTTATCGAATATTTTTTATTATTAAAAATTTTCATTGTATTGTACTTTACATCTGTGACAATCAGTACATATATAATGGTCGAAAGTTTTTTTATTATTTATTCACTCTCAGAACCACTTTCTCCACTGCCACTGCCAGAGTCACTAGCACTTCCACTACCAGATTCACTACCACTGGCACTGGCTGATCTTGATCGTGAAGGAGATCTTGATTTGGATCTAGATTTCGAACTTGATGGAGATCCAGATCGAGATTTAACTGGAGATCCAGAATGAGATCTTGAAGCTGATTTTGATCGTGACCTTGATTTGGAAGAATTTCTGGACTGAGGAGTACCAGATCTTGACCTTGATTTGCTATGCGATCTAGAAGGTGACTGAGATTCAGAACGTGAACGAGAAGCAGATCTCGATTTTGATCGTGATATAGAACGAGATTTTGATCTAGAACCAGATTTCGAACGAGAACGAGATTTTCTACTAGATGCACGAGAAGATGCTCTTGACGATGCTCTGGATTCAGCCTCATTTTCAGATACTTCTAAGAAAAAAATAAATTAAAAAATTATATTTTAAAAATTTGTAAAATATATATAATTAGTAGAATTTTATATATAATATTGCTGACCTCTTTCCTCCTCTGCTTTTTCAGTTTCTTGTTGAGGTTCTTCCTCTTCTTCTTCTTCCTCTTCTTCTTCTTCATCTTCATCTTCTTCTCCTGGTGGTTCTAGTTGTTTTTCTCTATATCTTTGCATTTTAAATTCATTAGCATTAAGTGGTCGATGTCTTACTATTAATCTCGTATTATTTGGTTGTTGTCCAACTTTTTGTCGACGTTTACTAAGTCGTACTCGCGTTTCCAATTCATTATAATATACCTGTAATATGAATATCAATAAAAATATCTATCTTATTTTATGTTACGTATTAGTTAAATATAGAACATACTCCATCTTGTCTTATGACAAGGAAATAATTTTCTTCATATCCTTTTGAAGCTTTACTCTTAACATTCCAATTATACTCTCTTGCCATTTTATATTCATATTCTTCATCATCTGCATAATCAATACCTGCTGTAAAATCTCTCCTACGTTTTTCTAATGTTTCTTCCAAAGGCAAGAAATATGCTACAAATTGTTCTCCACTTTCATCCATAACACCACTAAAATAATATATTTATTATAAAATATCTATGTATTATATGTTATAAAATAAAAAATTATAAATTATGTCTAATAAATAATAAATTTACCGAATCATAGCTTGTGACATTTCTTCAATTTGAGCTGGTACAGAACGTCCAGTTGGAGCTGGATCTGAATCAAATATGACTTGAGCACAAGGATATTTCCAAAGCTGAAAAAAAATAATAAAAAACATAAATAAAAGTATAAAATTAATATATTTATATCATATAAAAATATTTAAAATACCTTGAAATCTGGAAATACTGGTAAAATTTCTACAGGTACTACATTTGGTTTACTATAATGCCTTTCAATTGGCTTTTTATTATCTTCAAATGTTTTTTCTATAGCTTTTATTTGACTTTCACGATCCATATATAATGTTTCTTCCTATATAATTATAAAATAAAATTTTATATATATGCAATAAAAATTTTAATATAAAATAAAAAAAATATAAAAATATTTTAAAAAAACTTACTTTTAAATTTTTCTTAATACTATAACCAACTTTAGCTTCAACTTTATCCACAGTTTGTGGTTGAAATCTAGTTTGTTCTGTAGAAATATATTCAGTACGTCTGAGCCAAGATACACTTCTGGCATGATGTCTAGATCTTTTTGAATCTTGTGGAGTAAGAACATCTTCTTCTAAAAGTTTTTCATCAGCAGGATCTAATTGAGAATTTACATCTCCAGCATATGTATCTTTGTTTATAAGATCAATTTCTACACCTAAATCATGTTCTGTCAATACTTCATATTTATAATTACGTTCCAGTGAAGTTGGATTATATTGAATAAACCTATGAATATTATTCAAATATATATATTATGCAAAATATTATTAACATTTAAACATATAATATAATATTAACATATAATCTTACCGAGTAGATTCAAAAGGATATGTAATAAACTTAGGATCAAATGGTATATCAGGTAATGTATTGCAATATTTAACTCTACATATTAATTCAGATCTGAAATAAAAATAATAGAATATTATTTTTAACAATAACAATAAAAACTACAGGTTATAATTAATTTTTACCTTTTTTCTGCTGGTCTAGCTGTTCGTTTATCCCGTTCAGCTGTATTACCATTAGTTTGAATAGTAGGAGCCATATTAAATTAATATATAAAACTTAACAATATTTTAATAATATTTTAATATTTTAATCATTACAATAAAATTAGAGAACAATCTTTCAAGGTGTATATCACACGACCATACTTTGTGTATCAAAAACAATTTATCTCACGCCATCTAGTTATAACTAACAACATATTTAAATTAAAAACAACATTTATTTTTTTTCTTTTAATCTTAAAAAACGGAAAATTTATATCATTTAATTGTTTATATTTATTATCTAATACTTAACAATATTTGTCAAAATAACATTATTATAAAAATTTAATCTTTAATATTGAAAATATTTCTTTAAAGTAAAGTAAAATAAAGTAAGAATTGAGGATTAGCTATTTTGAGTGCTTTTGAAAAAATGTTTTTGATACTGACACAGAGATGACGCTGATCATCAATTCGTATTCTGGATCTCTATTCTTGTCTTATTATTTAATTTGTATTTCATGCAATATTCTAAAGATGGCATTAATTCCCCAATTTTTATTCTATCTCTGTCTTTCTTTATTATTTGCTTTCCTTATCCATATTTGTTCTTGATATATACTACAAATGAGATATGGGATATTAATTAAATAAATTTTCATTATCACTTTTTTAAAACTACAATATTATTTTTAATATAAAAGATATAAATATTGTATTTTTGGTTTTACAATGAATTTTTATAATAATAATAATCTTGTAATTGTTAAAAACAAAAGAAAAGAGAAAATTAATATTAAATTTATTCTGAATCTCATCTGTGATATTAATTTCGCGCCTTACATTAGTACGCAGGCGTTTATTCACTCATAATATTGATTTGAATGCGCAAATCGTATAGGAATACTCTCATTTAGAAATGCAGATATTACTGTTTGTAACGTGATTCACTATTCTATTAAGAAAGTATTATTTCAAAATTTATCATATTGAAGAAAAAAGTGTACAATAAGAAGAAAATTAAAAAACATGGTTGGACCAAATATTTCCTTGTGACTAACCGTTCCGGAAGGTGGAACAACTTCTGTACAAAGCATATCTTTTAGAACACCTTCCGATCACGAGCGTACAAATTCGGAACTCGCAACGCTTTGCAAAGTAAGCCAAGATAGAAATTTTTGTTATATAAAAATATATATATTATAAAAAATATGTTAATATTATGAAAATATATGGCTAATTATTTTGTTAATTAATCTTTATTAAAAGAATTTAATTTCAAAATTTAAATATATTTTATTATTTAAGTATCAAATATTTTAATTTAAATTTAAAAAAAATTTTCAATTTAAATTATGAATTAAAAATGTTTGGTATCTAAAAAAATTCTATTTATTACAAATATTAATATTAATATATGGCATAATCTTAAGTATAATTAATTTTAGGTATATCCTGTGAGCCCTGTAACAGGGCCTGGTGCAGCAAGATCCGTATGGGAATTAAGTCCCGATCCCGACATGGTCGGGCATCTACCCAATATTCCAATTTCTAATACTAATCATCAAAATCATGCACCATCTAAACAATTACGACAGGGAAATGGTCCTGACGATAATATTTATACTGATGAAACAGCTCCAGGTCAAACACCCTCTGATGAAACAAAACAAATTTTCGAACTTCTTAGATCCGGGTATTCATATTATATTATTTTTATAAATATAATTAATAATAAATATAAATAATTTTTATCATGAAAATATCATAAAATAATATATATACAAACTCAAAAATAAATTATTAAAATAATTAAAATATTTTTTTTAGTGAAATCGGAGCAGTCGATGAATTAGTAGAAAAAAATGGTTTAAGTGTATTAAGTGCGAGAGATGAATGGGGATATACTCCTGCTCATTGGGCTGCTCTAGATGGAAATATTGAAGTTAGTTTTTTTTTAATGAAATAATTCTATTGATAAATTTTTTTTATAAATAATAATAATTTATTTATTCATATTTATTATTATATTATAGGTAATGAGATATTTAATAGAACGAAATGGACCAGTAGATCTTTCTTGTCTTGGAACTCAAGGACCAAGACCAATACATTGGGCTTGTCGAAAAGGTCATAGTGCAATAGTTCAACTATTATTAAAGGTATTTTAATTAATAATTGATCTTATATATAAAATCATAACTTATTATCTATTAATTTTAATAAATAAATTAATAAATAATAAAAATATAAATTATTTTTATTTATTTTTAGGCAGGTGTTGCTGTTAATGCAGCAGATTTTAAAGGTTTAACACCTCTCATGACTGCTTGTATGTTTGGAAAATTTGCAACAGCAGCATTTTTGTTAGGATCTGGAGCATTAGGACATTTAACAGATATAAATGGAGATACTGCTCTTCATTGGGCTGCATACAAAGGTCATGCAGAATTAATAAGATTACTTATGTATAGTGGAGTAGATTTACAAAAACCAGATTATTTTGGATCTACTCCACTTCATTTGGCATGTCTTTCTAGAAATGTTAGTTGTGTTAAAATATTATGTGAAAAAAGTAAGATTGAACTAGAACCTCGTGACAAAAATGGTAAAACACCATTACAGTTGGCAAAAAGTCATAGACATTCTGAGATTGTAAGAATATTACAGGCTGAACAGAAACGACGAGCTAGATGGATTCCACCTATTAATGAACTTTGGTTTATATTTTGTTTTTTATAAAAAATATTTTACAAAATATCTTATTAATTAAAAATTTATATTTTTCTCTTTTTTAAGGGCATTATTATTTGGTGGAGCTGGAAATAGTAAGGGACCTATATTATTATTTATGGTATCTGTTCTTTTATGGGGATACCCAATGTATTTATTAAAATGTATACCATTAACATGGAATCTTTTACGCGGTAGTCATTATTGTTTTATTTATTGGAATATTGTTATGTGGATTTCATGGATTGTAGCAAACAGAAGAGATCCTGGATATGTACCACAAAATAGTGAAACCTACTATAGAGCAATTAAACAAGTATTTTATAATTTTATATCTTATTAAAAAATATTGCATATCATTTTATAAAACAATTTTTATTTTCAGATTCCATATTTTGATAAGTGGAAAAAAAGGAACGTAGTATTATCTCGTTTATGCCATAGTTGTAGATGTTTTAGACCTTTAAGGGCTAAGCATTGCAGGATTTGTAATAGATGTGTTACATATTTTGATCATCACTGTCCATTTATATATAATTGTGTAGGTTTAAGAAACAGGTAAATTTTAACAATTTATATTTAATTATAAATATAATTTAATATTTCTTAATTATAGTTATTAATTAATTATTTCAGAATGTGGTTCTTTCTTTTCGTTATGTGTGTAGCAATAAATTGTTCATTTACTATTTATTTTGCTTGTTACTGTATGGCAATTGAAGGAATCCAATTATTATATGTATTAGGTGTATTAGAAGCATTAGTATTCTGTGGACTTGGATGGATTTTGACTTGTACTTCAGTAAATATAAAAATTTGTTCTACTGTAATATATCATATTTAATCAACTTTTTATAATAATCTTTTTAATCTACAGGTTTTGCATGCATGTATGAATTTAACTACAAATGAAATGTTTAATTACAAACGATATTCATATTTAAGAGATAAAAAAGGAAGATATTTAAATCCTTTTAGTAGAGGTCCTGTTCTTAATTTTATCGAATTTTTTTTATGTCCTCCAAATCACCAAGCAAATGACCCTCAAAATTATCAAATACTTTCAGAAGATATCATGTAAAAAATAATATAAATTGTAATTAGTATTTTTTAATAACATTATATCTTTAAGAAAACAAAAATGTTAATAATTAAGCACTCAATATTATATCACATATACATAATATATAATCTTCATTTTTAATATTATAACTTTTTATTTATAATATTAAATAAAACACGATTTAATAAATAATTTAATAATTTATTTTTAAGAATTTATTCTAAAATTTAAAACATTTCTATTATGATTACAATAATATTATTAAAAAAAATTACTAATAAAATCATACATAATTTTAACTTTTTAATTATTATTATTATTATTATTAAATAAAAAAAATTATTAAATATTATCAATTTATCAATATATTAGAAATGATTTATTATGATGATAATATCAGTAATATATATTATTGATACATTAAATAATTATAAATTGATATATATATATATATACAAATTATATTAGAAATTATATAAAATATATCTTTGGTAAAATATACTATAATTTTGCATTTAATTGAAATATCAATATTTTTTAATCCATTAAAAATTAAAAAATTGTTTATATAATTAAAAATATTATATTATAATATTATTAAAAAATTTTAAATTATTTATATAAAAATTATAAATTATTTAATGTAAAATTTAGTTTTAATAAGTGTCTAAACAATATCTTATTAATATATCTTATTAATATATCAAATGGCTATAACAATTAATAAATATAAAACAAAATTCTTATTTTAATTCATAACAAAAATCATAATTTGGTGGAGGATCAGGAACAGCAGGTGGATCTTGAGGAATATCAATCCCTTCTGTATCTAAAAGTCTCAATTTGATATCCATGGACAATAAAGTCTCAAGATCATTTTCCGCTTCTTTACTAGTCATTCTATTACCTGTGAAGGTGTAAGATATAACTTTTTAAATTTAATTTTAAATGGAAAAAGATAATTTAACTCATGAATAACACTATTACAATACCAAGCAAAGCATTAATGCCATCAGTCCAATAATCAAAAACTTGTTCATCAGGAGCTACAAAATCTAAACTTGAAACTTCTACAGAATCTAAAATTAAAGAAAATGCTAATTGATGTGTAGTTTTCCGTCTTTGTAAATCTTTCATATGAGGACAATCTCTGCCAGTTAATAAAGCACGAATTTCAACAACAGCTAATTTTGTAGGAAGTTCATCAATTGTTGGTACTGATTTTTCATCACAATCACCATAATGAAATACTTTGTGATTTGGCGAAAGTCGAACATACCAGAACTTATCCTTAATTCTCTATTTACATACAAACATATTTATTATAAATATATAATTCTGAAAATTATCTGATTTAATTATATTATTTTATTAAATAATAAATACCTGTCCTCTAGCACTATATTTCATAAATCTAGTGCCTTCTACTAAAAATCCTAAGCGTTGTTGTTGAATCAATTCTAAAATTTCAGGTGTAATTTGTTCTCTAAGTTCAACTATTGGTCTTGCATGACTTTCCCATTCTTCTCTACTTGTCCTTTCTTGTTGCCATAAATTAGTAATAGTTGAATATGTTAATTGTTGTAATTTATTTTTGAATTTATCCAATCCTGTAGGTTTACATTGAAGAGCTCTAGTAATTTGTTCTCTTACAACAGAAAATACTTTTATAAAATCTTCAGTAGTAGCTCTCATTTCTTTCCAAGTCTTGTTTAAAAGAACTATGCATACACAATAAAATTCCTCAAATGGATGATCATGTGTAAAAAACATAGGATGATATGATTGTCCTTGTTCACTAGGTGCTTCTCCAATACGTAAAACCTAATTAAATTCAAAAAATTTCTAATTATTTGAGCTATTTATGTTTTAAATTTTACATATTCACTTACTTCACAAAGTAATTTAACAAGTTCTACACTTGTTCTACCAAAAGGACATTCATGTTCATCTGCCCTGCAAGAGTTTTCTAAAACAACTTTAGTATAACCTTCAGTATGATTACGTGCAAAATAAACCATACAATCTAGAGCAAGCATGCCAGGAGGAGTTTCAGTAAAATCAAGAGCAGGATTAATATCATATTTAAAACCTAATTTTTTATAATCTTTAGCAAAAAGACCTTGCTTTCTAGCAATAACATCTCCACCTATGGCTCCTTCAGTATCAAAAGCAATTCTTCGAAGTTCTTTTATTTTATCATGTGCATCTTGATCCTGTGGATCCATTTTTGTTATCATACGTTGTTCCAACAAACTTAACATAAGTGTTTGTAATACATAAAGTTGATGTGCCATTTCTGCACCAACCTATATTAAAATTTATTTCTATGATAAATTTATAATAATGATTAAATATATAAGTAAATAAAAGATTCAATATTTTATACCTGACCAGTAGATTGTATAATATTTGTTAAAAACACATTTCTAACTTGCTTAGACTGAAGAGTTGCAGCAACAGCTTTACGTTTAGATAAATCTGCCTTAAGAAATAAGGCATTTATTAAAGCTATAGCATTTTGTTGTATTTGTGGACGTACACTTTGTAAATGCATTACCAAATTAGGAAATGTCACTTCTTTTTCGACTTGTCCATATTTTCCTGAGGAATTTAATACTATATTTTCAAGAATACTAAGTGAAGCTTCAATAATATTAGTATCTTGAGTTACAGCTTGATTATTCACATAGCTTGCTACTTTATTAATAAAAGGTGTTTCTAATATATCCCATGAAACAATTCCATGATCCATTAGTTCAACAAATGATTGAAGTGAATATGCAAGAGCATTTCCCTTATATTTTTCACCTTCTACCTATAAAAAAATAACATTTCTCTTATTTATATAAATTATAATCAAATATAAACAATATAATTAAATGAAAAAAAAAATGACAAAACCTGTGATATAATCAGGGCTAATCCTTGCTTATTAATGAATTCTAATGCAAATGTCATATCTGTGCTAAGAGTGCTTAATTTTTGCAAAGCAATAGTTTTTTCTTCTATACTTCCATTATTAAGTTTTGTTAAGATATCACAAGCTGTTTTAGAAGGCGAAAATTCTAATCTTAAAATACTACCATTTTTTACTTCATTACGATTTTTTTCTGTAATATAATTTTGATTATTACTTTCCGAAAATTGTAATGAATATGATTCAGGATCAGAAAGTCCCCATCCATTGCACAATTCCTAATAAGAAATAAATATTTGTATTATTTTCGTTTCATAAATTATTATTTTAATTTAAAAAAAAATCGATATAATATTATATAAAAAATAAACAAATACTTGAATAATCCCAGTAAGTGGATGTTTTTGATTAAATTCAATAAGTTGTGGTACTTGTTCTGTCATTTCAACAGCAATTTTCACGATATTTGAATCTTTCTGGACCGGCATTTTTATTGTTTGTGTGTACATTAAGTAATCAAAAATAATTATTATCACAAAATTGAAAAATACGATATGCGTTCGAAATTATCTTAATACAAATTTGACGTATCTCTTAACACCGTGACGGCCATTATGCTAAAAAACAGCAAGACAACTAACGGTTTCGCCCCACCATTATTAATAAGATTTATTATATATGATTATATTAGTGATTAGATATTCAGATTAAATATATAGATTATTAATTACTAAATTTTAAATACATCTAAATTTTATATATTTTATCCTTAAAATTTCATAATTCTACACACACATGTACACACATACATATACACAACACGATTTTTTTTAATGATTGGTATTTCAATAAATTTTAACAATAATTTAAAAATTTTGTAATTTTTTTATTTTTCTATATGCATTATTTATATTATATGGTTTTACAAAAAATTTTTTTTCATTTTTTTTGTTCAAATTCAAATATAAGAATAACAATAATAATTATATTTAACATGCAAATTATATATAAATTATAAAGAAATTCACAGTACTAACTGCATTTTATAAAGCATAATAAAAATTATTTGCTTTGTGCAGTTTTCTAAATTAATTTTTTATCTTATATATATTTATAATTTTGTTATCATATGTATAACAAAATTATATCTAATAATTATTATTAATTAATCATAATATAATTTCATATAATTTCATATAATATAATTCATTCATATAATTTCGTAACACAATTCTATGAATTGATATAAAGATAAAGAACTACAAAGAAAATATTTAAAAATATTTTACATTGTAATTCAAAGTTTCCAATCCCATGGTATACATAATACACCATCACTCATAATTGAGTAATAATGTGTCACCCATAACATAACATCTTTCAGCAAAGGAGCTAAAGTATTTTTATGTAATAATAAACGTTCACAACATTGTATCATCAAATCTGGAGTAATACTATCATCCTTATTTAGAATAGTCAAACCCAATTCCTGGACAACTTTATTATGAAGTTCACGTTCTACATATTTTATGCTATAAAAGAAAATTATTTAAAATAAAAAATAAATTTTTTAAATTAATTTAAAAAAATGATCTCACTTGTTGTAATGATATAATCTTTTAGTAGCTTCTTCTAAATTATCAGTAATAAAATTTACTAAAAGAAAACTTGGGCAAGAAGATGGAACAATAAATTGTCCAGTAGGAGAGAGCATTAAGGGACCTGCTTCACTGAAATTAAATAAAATTCATTTTATTATTATACACATATTTATATATATATATATAAATTTATATAATATATCATACTTACAAATAAATTAATTAAATTTATTTTATACTTACAAATGAACTAAAAAAAAATATATATATATATGTTAAATATATACATATAATAGTTATTTAATACTAACGTCTCAATTACAATTTCATACATTGACAAATCGGTTGGCCATACTTTTGGATAATTTCGTCGACCTCGATAATCTGAGAGAGTAGTGATAAGTTGTTGTAGTTGTTGTTCATACTGGCTAACCATTACTTTCGGCATGAATTTCCTGCACATATAGAGTACCCTGAGCCTTACCGTCACTCAATTAATATGTTGTATTACGCACCGTCGACCCACTTTAATGTTAAGAAGCACTTGTGAAACTGCCTTCTCAAAAGCTGGTAATCTCAATAATACTACATCGTATTTTTGAATATTCTTAATTAACTGTAATGATAAATATTCATTTAATAGAGTATATATTATATAAACATACATAAGTTTAATAATGTATTCTTACATCAAGCCAATTGTGCCTAACTTCACCTGAATTTAACATAACATTTCCTTCTACACTAATGCCTGTATCATTGGCAAAAACAAGTGTCCTATTTTTGAGTACTTCCATTGATTTAGGATGATGTTCAGATAATGCTTTAAAAGCTAATAAACATCCTCTATAATGAGCTATATTCCAACCACAATCCCATATGATATTTTTTAAACCTAATTCAGAACATAATATCTTTTCTAATTTTTGTACTTCCTCTCTTATTGGTCTACATGCTTCTAATTTTACATGTACTTCATTAATGTGTTTATCTAAATATGCTCTATGAAATCATAATTAGTTTAAATTATTTAATTATTTAAAATAAAAAATTAAAATATAAAATAGCCTTACTTAAGAGTATCAGGTTCTGAATTAATTTTTCTTTTCATTAAAATAGATGCATAAATAGGATTATCTTCTAGTTCTGAAAAATCTATATCTTCTCCAACTCCTTTTCTTTGCCAGAATTTTGATTTATATTTTGTACTATCAGTTGGTTTTTGTTCTTCAATTTGATCTACAAATGTTGTTGGCAAATCACATGTTTTTAAAATAGAAAGTATAGTTTGTCGTATATCCTTTTCTTTTAATTGTATCTGTACTAAAGTAAATTTTCCAGCTTTAAGTTCTTCTTCATTTTTTGAACGTAAGTAGAATGGTAAAATAGTAGGTCTTATTGGTCTTTGCTGTTGTAAACTTTCTATAATAGAACTTAACTGTTTTAAAGAATTTTCATTTACTGTCTGAAACATTAAAAGTAAAAAAAATTAAATTTAATATATGTGTATATATATATATTTAATACATTTTTATTATTTATTTTATATATATATTAATAAAAAAAAATTAAATTTAATATATATATT